GAGAAAAGAAACCATTTTACAATAACCTGATGGTCTATACTGAATTATAGTTCTCTCTACTCTTCATGTGATCCTAAGTTAGTCTGTTGTTGAGCTTGAGTCTATGTTTGTCAGTTAGATCAACTGATCTCTGGGTTAATTTGATCTGTACTGAATTATATTTGTGTCTACACACTTCCACTTGATCCTGAGTTACTCTGTTGAGCTTGAGTCTATATATACCAATTAGATCAACTGATCTCAGGGTTTGACCCATACTAAATTATATTTGTGTCTACTCTTCATGTGATCCTAAGATACTCTGTTGAGCTTGAGTCCATCTTTGTCAGTTAGATCCATTAATCTCTATGGGAGTCAGAAACGCAGTTACCGACGAACGGAAGCAACTTTTCTCGAGACGGTCCCACAACCGAGACCGCTAAACCGCAACTGCAACGCGAGTCCCCTGGACACCGCAACGTTTTGCTCTAGTTCGTCACCCTTTGGTAAAATTTATTTTACGGTTCACCGATAATCAGCGACCGAGTGACCAGAAAAGTAATCGTCGCTTAAAATCTAATTTTGAAGCTACCCGGAAATAAGTGGATACGGGGAGCAACAGACGCGGGGACCTGGAAGGGGTCCAGGCAAGGACGACCGGGTCTAATCGACCTTCGGATCGTTGGCCTGCGCCATAGAATTTTAAACGGTGACGCGGGGAATGCGTTCCTCGGACTCTCTCTTTGGGGCCGTCTATGGCAGTGACTGGTAACGGCATTGCCAGGTAGTCCAAGTTTTGCGTTTATAGCTTTGTCAGGTCTGTCGTTGAAAAAAGAGAAAAGAAACCATTTTACAATAACCTGATGGTCTATACTGAATTATAGTTCTCTCTACTCTTCATGTGATCCTAAGTTAGTCTGTTGTTGAGCTTGAGTCTATGTTTGTCAGTTAGATCAACTGATCTCTGGGTTAATTTGATTTGTACTGAATTATATTTGTGTCTACACACTTCCACTGGATCCTGAGTTACTCTGTTGAGCTTGAATCTATATATACCAATTAGATCAACTAATCTCAGGGTTTGATCTTTACTGAATTATATTTGTGTCTGCCAACTTCCACTTGATCCTAAGTTACTCTGTTGAGCTTGAACACCCAGTACTCCTACCAGATTAGCTCGACTAATCCTTGCCAGGCCAATGTTTACTCAGCTTGAATGTCTATTAAATATATTCTGCTGCTACTCACAAGCCAATTGAACTGGGTGAAATCGTCTGAATATATTAGAAAAAAAGCCAAGTATAAACTGTGATACACAAAGGAGTAGACAGTGGCGTAGCAATTGTAGCCTCTCGTTAGAGGCGACAATTAAAGCTCTCGTTATTTTCAGCCACGAGAACTGGATCGTTTTAATGAGGGCCCAGGGAATTAAACGTTTCGAGATTACACGATGCAACGTTCCTTCCAGCGGCGGGTTGCATCTCGAAATTATTGCCGTCGTGGAACGACTGAACTTAAGTCCCCGACTTCGTATCTGCTTAAAACAATTATTCCAGCGACACAAGAGAATCATCCAGAACGAGAAAATCTCCTGGCGACGAAATAAAACTGCGTTAGAGCTTGATTAAATCAGAGATTGGGTAAATTGCAGTCCGGGATAGGCCTAGATCGTATTAAGATTAACTTTGATGGCGTGCTTAAATTTCTCCCTTTAATTGCAATTTTTCTTGGAATTCCACGCTCGTAATTTTCGAAACTATTCCGTAAAAAGATTTAATGTTTCACGTGCGACCGGAATATGTGACGACAAAGAAATTAACGAGCAGCTCGTTAAAAAAAAAGATAAAGAAATAAGATGAATTAGCGTTAAATGTACGTGTACGTGTTCAGAGCAGTATGAATCCAATTTAACTAGATGATTCTGTGTGAGTGTAATTATCTATTCACGCTCTGGCCAGGCTGCCCACGCGTTCCAGCTAATTGCCTAATAACTTGCGATGAAAAGAATTCTAGCGTCGACTATGGATTATTCTACAAATTCCTTTATCTCATCTTAACACGTTATTACGTAACATTTTTCGTTTAATTCCATTCATTAACTGTCTCCGTCTCCTGTCGCTTTTCTTATTACTTCTGTTGATATATTTGATGTCTTTCTTAAACTTGTCATTCTAACTCGTTTAATTTTCTTTTTAAAAATCTGTGTTGAGAGTCACTGGGTTTACAATAGCCTCTGCAGAGTCAATGGACCCAAGGCCTAAGGACCAACTGGCGTCCAGGTTATTTTTCTTCAGGAATACTTTTACTGGAAGTCACATTGTGAACCCTGACCTTCCAAATCACCTTCAATTTCATTTTACTTTCCTCATAAACCCAATATTCCCATAAAGTCGTACAAACTCAAACCACGATTATCGCATTATCATAAAATCAGCATCCGATTGAAACGCGTGATCAATACCCAGTTCCCACGCAGCACGATCCTTCCATCTTTCTTTCTCCTTCGACCACTGTCTCTTTCAACGCGTTACACGCGCGAGCCTCTAAGCGTTACGGCCACGTGCACGCGTTTCAAAACAAACATCAGTGAGTCGTAGCTGCTTTTTTCTATGTCCGTTCTCGTTGGAAACTTTCCGTTGCCCGGTAATGAAACGGGGACCACAGCTGCCACTTAAGGCCCCCATTGTTACGCAATCCCTAAATCTGGTCTTCGAGACACGTGCTGGCTCCCAACGTAATTTTATCACCGTATCGCTGTTGGAATATGGGGCTCATTTAAAATAAAATATAAAAATATTTTTAAAATAATAAATTAATTTAATACCTGCCTAATTAAATATATTGTTTCCTTAGGTTCATTGACTGTCTCCAGAGTTAAGGCTTTTCTTTATTGTACAGTGACTCTCAACACATTTATTTTTTCTCACTAAAATAATAACGTAACAGTACAGGTCCTTGGATTACATGCAAGTAGAAAGTTGTTCAGAACGGCCTTCATATTAAAAAATCTATATGTATCCCAGAAAGCAAATCCTTAGTTAATTTTCTTATTACCTACAGAATAGATATACGATTAATGTCGAGCAAAAAAGGACAAGGCAGGTGCCCCAGAAGAAAAGGGAACGTCTCTTGTAGCACGGGGTGCGTGCAAAATGCAAGCACGGAGTGCAACGTATGCACGAAAACAGGTATCGAGAGGCGCAGGTGGCCTCTGCCAATGGGGAACTTTCGACAAAGAACGCCACTCGGAACAAAGAAATTTCTCAGCGTACAAAGACGTCGGTGGGGGGCACATACTGCACGTCACGTCTGCGCCCGACTCTACGTGCACGCCGCACCGAGTTTCTTTCTTTGGACGGTTAAACGAGAAATTAAACGGACCACTCCCATTCTGACTGTCTTTGACGGGAACGTATCTCAAACGACTGTGATAAAGAACTTTTTAATCGTCGATTGAACAATTAAGCTCTCGACTATGAAACGCTACTTTATATTTTTCAACGCTGTTTTAACTACTTGCTTATAATCACTTATTTACTGATCGGTTTTTAAACAGTAGTTGAAACTGTTTAAATTTCAAATAGTTATATGTAACAGATTTTGTGAAAAAATAAAAATTTATTAGTGAAAATAGATATTAAAAATTTATTAATTACATGAAAACTAAAATTAATTAATTAAATAAAAATTAAAATTAATTAAAAAGATACCTGACAAGATTCCTTTTGTATTCATGACTTAACTTAAATACAGTTAATTTTCCAATTCACATTTCTGATAAATTTCAGGCGTATTTAAAAAAATACCTGACAATCCTTTTGTATTCATGAAAATTTAAATACAGTAAATTTTCCAATTCACATTTTCTGAAAAAAGAAAATTGATAAAGGTAAATAATTAGTAAATAAAAAGTATAATTGTATCTATAAAAAATGATAGAGTCAATAAAATAAAGTTTAGACGGGTTGTGAAATATAGATATAATTTTATGACGTAAGAAACGTTGCTAACATAAGCCATTTTGCTCGCGGATTTATTGGACAACGCAAGTGTAATATAATGCTAATGGGTTAAATCGTTCTCGATGCGGTAACGTTCCAGACGAACTCGAATTCTTCACTTTCGTAACACGTTTCTGCTTCGTAGCTTTGTAAACAGGGTAATCAAAGTAAACACCTAGGCATGCGATGGTCGTCTTAATTACACGCCATGCTTCGACGATCTAGGCGGACCGAAATGGGAAAGCTAAAAAAAAATAAGAAAAAGAGGATGGCGGAGAAGAGAGAGTAATACCGTGACGCCTTTGATCTCGTGGCGCTAATAACTTGTCAGAAAGGTTAATTAATACGGAGTCTCGAGGAGTCCGGGGCAAACGAGCAAGCAAAGATGATTGACTTCGTTACGCGTTTCTCCGTTAGACCGGAGATGAACTTCCGCTTCTCCCTAGCGATCGTCCACAAAATTCGCGTCCCCTATCGCTTACCTCAATTTCTATGCTCTAAGCTGCGTTTTTAAATCGCTCCTTTGAAACGCGAATCAAAAGATTTCGCTTATAAAAGAATATTTACAATTAAATGTAGGTTAGTCTCGACCAAAGATTCGAAGAGACTCCACTATAAATTAAAAGTTGAATGGAATTTAAATTAAACTCTCCTTGAGAGAGGATTAAGTGTTTATCGAATTTTAAGACTTTGCTCGAGGCTCGAGTATACTGATTTAAAAAAAGAATTTAAGCCACAGTTGGATTAACGGTCGACTTCAAACTGGTGGTTGCGCGCGCTGCTACTTAACCACTCTTTATAAACAAACGCGTCGCGTCAAGAAAACGCGCTCGATCGACGGCAATCGATACAAAACTCGAAAAAAATTCTCGAAAAATGCGACCGTTTATTTGAAATTGCTCAACTGTTCGACCTTCGTTTGCAACGCAACGATAATAAAACTCTCGATTGCACATAGGAAAATATTTAAATTAGACATAGACGTCATAGAAAACCGCAGTTAGATAATTTTGTACTTACTGATAAATTTCAGGCGTGGTGCCGTCCAGCGAAGGGCGCCAAAGAATCGTAACCGTCGTTTCTTGCACTCCTTTCAACTAATGCACGAATATCAGATTCACCGTAGTTCACGGGGAAATCACTACGAAAGTACGGTCGCACGAAACACGCGGATGTGACAGGAGCAAACCTAACCTTTCGACCGGTGCCGAGGAGAAAAGGAACCGTCGCGGACGAAGACGCGAGAAACACTACGAGGCACGAACGCTTGACCGTGAAACGAGTCCTCCCGATCGAAACTTCGGGACGAAACGAAGCACACTCACTGACGCGAAAAACGGCCGCACGCCACTTCCCTTCGATTCGATCGCAGTGAAAACGGACGCAAGGACATCGTAGCCACGACAGTTCGCGACACAATATCCGCAATCCGCGGAAGGACTGTCGTCCCGTTCCGAACGCGTTCACCCGCGCCCCTCCATCGACGGATATTCACCGGAGTAAGGGAAAGCAGGTAGAACGACAAAGAAGCAACGAGTGGCGAGGCTTCCTCAAGGAGATTGCGCGAAATGAGCGAGAGAGACGCACGACAGGCGCCATGCCACTCACGAGGGTGGGAGAAAACGAGAGGGTGCTACACTCAGGATCGTACCTAGTAAAGGGCTTTCCAGTACAATATTCGAGAGAACTTCAAATTATAATATATTACATTATTGTCAAAGGAATTGTTTTCTATTTTCAATAAAATTACGTTCCTTCATGATCCAATCCTCTTCAAACAAGTTTTACTATAAATTTATACAATTCACATTTTATTTTAACGAATATTTAGATTCAAATCCAGAAATATTTTTGCCCTGACATGAAACGAAATTTTATATTACTTTTACAAATATCAGAACAATTATTTACTGTACTAAAGAAATAAATACGAATCATCAATCTAAACAGATTATTTTAGTTATGTATGGAATTAAATTCAAAATTTACACTGACCGGAAGTCACTACTTACGTCAAGTTGCTCCCCACGTTGGTACTGCAATTGAGTCTCGTAGTTAGTCTACGAACAGTTCGAAGCAAGCGTTATTCTCGTCGAGATTGATATCAATGGTACGTGTCTTTAATCACGAATCAAAATTACAATTATACTTTGATTAAGCGAATAAATTATTCCTTAAGATATCAACTGAGGTTAAATTTCAAATATTCGTAAATATTAAATACGACCAAAATCCAAATTTATGAGTATACATTTACGCACATATCTTTTCTATATCCCGAAATTATATACAAAATTTGCGTAATCATATTAAACTTTCATAGACATTATTTACCGTATTTAATCTTTAATATCCCTAATTTAAAGTCAGATGAATTTATCGATACGTCATTTTCTGTTCAGCGAGGGAAGAACCGAACAGGAGTCATGACTGATCGGTCGCGCATGCGCAGTTCACAGAATGTCGTAGTACGAATTTTATCCACGACGAAAGGGCAAGTAACGTTCCTTGTAATTGCAGTGAGAAGAATTTTATGAGATTCTACGAACAGGATTCGCAACAAGTACAGTTATCCTCGTATATATAATTTCTTTTTACGATATGCAAAACGTCGCTATTCGTGTTACGAGTCTCGCTTGACAAACGTAATTTTTGCACGACACGTGATACTTTTCGAAACAAGTGCACGAATTTGCAGTTGATTTCATTGCGTTTTACTTCGACCTTGTTGTAAATTCGTCAGAATGATATATTTGATGTATTACAGGGAAAAATTGACGTTGTTTATCTCGCCAGTCATGACAGCGTTTGGAAACGTCATTTACGCGCCAAAACGTGTCACCTATCCAACTGTTGAACGCGTGGAGGTCAATGCGTGCAATAGAACCCTTTTACGTGAGTCATGATGATTTTCGTCGACAATTTATCAAGGTAAGTGGGTTTTTTTATAACCTTAATCATCTGGAAACTTATGCTGTTTTGATAAGGGTATGATTGATGAAACAATATGATATACAATGCAATGTCATTTCATGTGATGCACAGTTGTAAGTATAATTGAAATTTTTAATGCAAATGCTACCATAAGGGCCTCATCGTCTCTTGATTTTTGACCAATAAATAAAACTATTCGATTCAAATCTCTAAACTTCTAATATTAGAAGTGATTTGTAGATTTTCAAACTTAAGGGTTTAGAAATTTGAAGATCAGCTGCCTTTATTATTAATCAGTCACATGTGTCATAAGTTATAGCAACTTTGTCTTAAATATAAATGCTTCACGCTTTTAATGTTATTCTACATTCTACTTGAATATATAATACTTGTGTAAGAAATATTTGGAACAAGGTAAGTACCCTTAATGTCTAAAGAAGCACTGACTTTAAAGAATATAATTTAACAAGATTTTCTCTGGGGGATAATAGTGCGCATACCCTCCATACAGTAAGTAATTAACAGAAATGGATGATATGCATGATATGCATGACCTAGTTCATAAGCCACAGTCTCATTTGAGTTCATTCACCTTGCATATATTTATGTGGATGTTTTAAATTTTAACCATTAACATACAAATCATTAACTGCTAATTATTGCTTGCACAGAATAATTGAACTAATTTCATATAAATTATTTGTCCAAATAACCAAACGTATTATTTATTAATATGTGAATATGAAATTGATTGAATTCCAGAAACACAGTACATGTATAAGTTTGTATCAAATAAATGAATTAAATCCGTTATTGCAAATGTATTAATTACCCACACAATTTTCAGGAAGCAGTTCATTAGTGAAATACACAAATTGTATGTTAACAAGCTCACTGAAGTTTTGTGCAGTTGAAGATTTTTGGTCAAACAACTTGAAGCAACGAATAAACGTAAGCATTTAGAACAGAGAACTTTCGTGTACGGCTGACTATTTTTTTTCTCGTTTGGGTATGAAATGGTAGAAAAGTGGAACGCGAGTTTTTCCGTCTAATTGGCTGTGCATAGCATCGATATCGTTTGTTACGCTTTCTAAACGACCGTTCGGATATTTTCTGGGAATCGAGATCATCCGATGGGCGTAATGGGCAATTACGCCATCTAGTACACATTTCCGATTACAGACATACCTCGCTTTTGTGCATCGCCAAAACTTGATTCGGTTTACCATCTGCTGTGCTGGAAATTAGATCAAGTTCAATTATTCCTTGATAAATATTTGTTAGCCTTTGGTGATAATTAGAGTTGCAGAATTGGGGTTGTAAAGAGAGGTCATATGGTGCCAGGAAACATGGCGTCAGCAATGCCATTTTGGTACCAGTTTACTCCTCACTGTATTATGAGGTTAAATTTTCTTTTTTATGTTATTATAATCAATGTATGAATATTATATTATTGAAAAATAATCAAGGGATCTCTCCATGATACCCAGTAAATCGAATCCGCATGGTCTTCTCTGCAAATTGCACAGCAAATATTTATTTCCGTCCGTCGCGTCGGTGTAATTACTTCCGTCTTAGCTCGTTGTTATCTGAACGTCGTGCTACTAGGGTAAAAATCGAGGGAAATAAGAAACGTGGAACGAATCTGAGCGAGAACTTGCAGAGAGGGAGGGTCGGGAGTGGAAAGGTGGTAGCTCGGGGAGTAGCATTAAGGAGCAGATTGAAAATTGAATTATTAACGAGCGAGCTGACGCTCGGCATGTAAATCATACGGAAATATTACTTTCCTTTCCACCGAGAAAACGCGACAACCTTTCTTTTTGCTCTCTCCTTAGCTGAGATGTACAGTGTGTCTCAAGAAACACGTGTCACGGTTGCAGCATCTTGCAAATTACACTTCATTTTTAATTATTCAATGTCTTTTAATTATCCTCTTGTATGTACACTTAACTTACAGCTATGTTACAAATGGCATTTATAAGTTAAGCTATTCTCGCATAATTTCGTTACAATTTTGATGAGCAAATGGTGCTACGTGTACTCGACATTCTGCTAAATAACACGGTATAGAAAGCATCAACTATTTACAACACTGTTTAATTCTCTAGTTACAACGATTACACGTATGCTTAATGGCGCTGGAGTATTTGAGCAATATTCAACGAAAAGCGCGTTTTGGTAACACCTTGACGGCCACAAATTCTATATGACCCTTTCGCACTTTTTATAATGTAAAAATATTTTTATTAAAAGAATCGTATATAGATGATTTATATTGATCAAGTGAAAATGTAGCAGGGGAAGGAGACTCGAGAGGGTGTGGCCAAACGGCCGACAGAAGCCGAAGTGTACCGAGGATGAACTACAGGGAAGCTGAAGCTGAAGCACGAACGATTCAACAAGAATGGAATGATAATCTCCTGCGTTGTATGGCCACCTATCATCACTCATACCACGGCAGTATATCGAGAGCCTACTGTACCTCCTTAGGCTTAAGGGGCCTTGCGCATTCCTAATTGATAGAGGGTACAAAATCGCATCAGAGTCTTAATGGCGGCCATCAAGGCGTTAAATTCACAACCACTGTACGTCGAAATTCGACGAAGCGATGAAACGCGTTGCAAACGATAATTAATCCTGGGTCACACCCTTTGCACAGATCTACGAATCGAGTATTCAGTTGAGAGACGACTGTGTACAGACAGCAACGGATAACGTAAGGAATTTCCTACATAATACAGTCTTGCAATTTCGCGGGTCGTTCGAGGATATCTATGGTTTGATCGCGATACACCATGACCAGTGCCCTGATGATCGTGTATCGCGTTCTTCAGCTTTGTCCGGTTCAAGCGCGATGTTTAGACTCTCGTGGTGTCTCGCTGAAACATCGATCGATCCGTAACTCGAACGTTTTCGATAAACAACCCTCGATCTGTCCATCTCCTACTCGGATCAGGGCTGCAACAGAACAAGAACATTGATATCACATCGTTGTTCTCAAAACGTTGAGTCAACACAAAATGAAGGATAAGTTCCTAAGAGGAATTTGAGGATCAACCTTGAACAGGAATGACGAACCGTTCCGTGAAATGACTTAATCCGGCAACAAAATATGCAAGACAAACTTGATGGAAAGAATCCGGCAGAGGAAGAAGGGATGTCGAGGGGAAGTTAAGCGACAGAGTGAGATACGGTATCCCGAAAACGGCCTGCGGCTGATCCGCGTTAGGTTGCCCATCGACGGTAAACCGGGGACGTTAAATCTTGGCGCACCGTAAAACCAGCCTCGCCGAACTTCCTTGCCCGGCCGAGCGATTTATCGTCGACCTTTTACAGCCAGCCCTTACAAGATAATCCGTGTCTCGCGAAAAAGCTTGATGCACGGCGTGCATGGCGTTAACATGATAAAGGCGACCGGTTCCCGTTCGCTTTATAGCTTTAGAAGTTGAACGAGGACGTCGTTAACGCGTGGTATCGCTCTTACCATCTGCGGTCGTGTTGTCCGCTCAACCTCACAGGTAGATGCAAAGGTGACGAGCAGACAGGAAAGAGCAATAAAACGCGCTAAACTTTTAAACAAGAGTCAAGATTGGACTAAAAGCTTTAGGATAGTGCTACTCAAGATACGCGGAACGTTATGGCGCAGATAGTCCCACCTCAGCCTTTTGAATTTCGACGCTGTTCAGCGCTACGGCTTCCGGCACGGTATCCTCCTCAACCTCCTCTTTGCACCCGAAGATGGTCTTGTACATGAAAGAGGACAACAGGGATCCACCGATCGGCCCGAACCAGTAGATCCAATGGTGAGACCATTGGTTGTTCCACAGAGCGGGAGCCAACGACCTGGCAGGGTTCATACTGCAGCCCGTGTAGGGACCGAACGCGATGGCCAACACGGTCACCGTCATGCCGAATCTGAGCGGCACCGAATCGGTGTTCTGCTGATTCCTGATGTCCCACACGGCACACGCGACTAACATCAGAATCCCTGTGGATATTCCTTCGAGCAACAAGCCCTGGATTGCTGTGAGGTCCGAGTGCAAATCCGTCACGCAGAACAAATGTGCGTCCTCCACAGTGCTGGCGGTTAAACGCTCCGCTGGTGTCACCACCTGAAATGCGATGTTTGATTATGGCGGGAAAACTGATAGGAGTGATTTGGGTAACTTGATGATGCCACTACGTAATCGAGATTCCTCAGTGTTACCTGAGATAATCCTAGCTACTGTTCATATTACCGGAGTATAATTTTGGCTTCCCTTAATTGAGACTAAGGATCTTTGTATGTTTTCTTAGAAACCCCTCTCCTGTCTCAGTTGAGATATCAGAGGTATCAGAATGCAGAGTATAAAAATATAGAACATAACATTCTTTATTTTCAATCAAATATAGCTGAGTATCTAGAAAGTATGTTACGCAAGATACTGGTTCTGAAGTGACGTTTGCGACACTCTTGAGGCAGTGATTAAACAGAGGTCTTGAACCCTGATAAACAGAAGCCGGGGGCAAGGTTCCCTTTAATTTGCAGCACGCTTTATCGGAGGAACGTTGATCTCAACATGGTTTCATTACGGTTTATCTGTTCGCTTTTGTCTTACACTGTTTATGTTTTGATACGTGTTCGCGGGATTAACTGTGGCATGCACGTGTAACTATGTGCTGTACGTTTCATTTTTACGACTCTATTTTAGTGATTCTAATGTAAGTTATCGAACGAAAGCACTTGTATATGCCAACAGAAGTCTGTCGATTGTTTATGAATAGATCACAAAATTTCATACTAACCTTCAGCATCCCAAAGCCCATCACACTGCCAATCAGCTGGGACAGGATATACACAATACCTTGAGGAATCGTCTTCTTCCCTAGGACCATTGCGCCCACTGTGATCGCCGGATTAATATGGGCATGACTGATGTGCCCAATAGACTGTAACAGATTAATCTTTTCAATAAAAGTAAGAATATTTGGTTTTCTTATTGAACAGTCTTTATATTTTTCTCCTCCCTTAGGTAACCTCAGTTTCCTACCCCGCAGCCCCCGGCGCAGGAAAATATAAGGAGTACCACTATAGCAATCGAGTTCTCCGATGGAGCTCGCAAGGAGCACAATTTCTCCAGCATCTCAACAAAGTAACCAGTGGCTTTTCAACAAAAGTTTCCGAATAAGACCAAGGTCTCCGAGCATTTTCGTGCCCATGTGTACAAGGAGTACGCGTAAGCCGTCCCACTGACCTGAATAACGAGCATCACGGCCAAACCGAAGGTCAGGGCGATCTGTAGATGGGAAGGTACCACACCAAGACTGCCGATACATCCCATGCATCCCACGAACACCAACATCGACGTCCCGATCGTTTCTGCCAGTGCGGTCAGCACCGTGTTCTTCAGGGCACCCTCGCCTTGCATTAGTCCCTTGAAGCCTGCGAAACGAAAAACATCAGTCTCGCACGATTTTTCATTGACTATGCAATTTGATCATTTATATTTCCCCGACGTTCAAAGCTATCTTATCTTGAGAAATTTATGACCAAGGTTTATGATAAAAGGATAATGTTGACTAGCTGACAAAATAATACTTTGGAGTGAAAGACGTTTTTAATTAACAGCTGTTTTTTCTGGAGATGTAAGGTTAGGTGAAGCTGGCTGTATTGATCTCTTTAAGTTGTGCGTGCGTGGAGTCTTGCGAGACTGAATTTATATCTCGGGAAGAGGAACTTTTCGAACAATCGTTGAAAGATTGAATCTATCCTTAAAGTCCGGGTCAACTTCGATATCAAAGTAAAAATTAAGTTTCTCTTTTCCTGGTATACATTCAGGTCACTATCAACAACTATTCGTTGTACCAGCTCTTGTTTGAAGAGCTCTCATTTCTCATCAAGATGTCACGTTAATTTTTCATCCGGTGAAAATGCTTCTTCCGCTGCCTGACAGACATTTTCCACTCGGAGAACAACGTTCAACGTGTATGAATGGTGTTATCGGGCTGGCAGGTGTCGACGAGGACATCCTTGTTCGCTTTAAGACTAACGCGTTTAATCTTCTAACAACTGGTGTCTCGAGCTTTTCAAACTTTAATTCGCGCTCTCGAATTTAAGCACCAAACCACTGGCGGCTTTAATTTTCAATTTTGACGTGGATTGACTGAGTGACCTAAACCCACATCAAATGCAAGTCTATCCTTCATCCGAAATTTCACTACACTCGAGTCGAGCTACTATCACCGTGTTTCAAATTACCCATCGCGTAAATTATGTAATTACACTAAGCCGTCGCGGCTGTTAAAAAAATTGCCTAGAAAGCCCGTACGATAACGAATACTAATTTTCGTGGAGACAAAGTGACCATTAACAGATTGATACAATGTCTCACCGTGATTACAAGGCATTTTAACGCGCACGTTCCTCGATGGTACGCGTTCACGGAACCACTTCCACCGAGCGAGTAAGTTTCAGAGCGCAGTAGTTAACAGGTTGAAGGACAGCGTGCACCGCACGCATTGATACAACTGTCTTGTCGGTTGATTATTCGTTTTAAGGCGTGCGATATTTATTCGACCGATAACCGAACACGCGCGCTTACACAGTGTCGTCTGCTTCCTAGTTCGCTCCCGCGACTGTCTAAATAATTGATTAGACGAGATAATAAGGGATTTCGCTAATCTTTGGAACTCAATTATCTGTATCGCCAGCGACCGAGTGTTTGGCGAACTGATTAAGGACGTAAATAATGGATTTGGCTGGCGAATCTCGGGCTTGCTCTTTCGTTAATTAGTTGTTGTAAAATTAAGACCTGTGGCTGTAGAAGAGATTTTGTTAGAGCAACATTGGATTAGAGCGTTAAAAAAAGGAGTAGACATTTGAGTGAGTGTTTAGGAATCCCTAGATTTGATGACAAAGAAAGTAGTAAACATTTGAGTGAGTGTCTACGGACTCCAAAATTTGATGGTAAAAAAAGTAACAGACATTTGAGTGAGTGTCTAGAGATCCCTAGATTTGATGAATAAAAAAGTAATAGACATTTGAGTGACTGTCTAGGAATCCCTAGATTTGATGAAAAGAAAAGTAACAGACATTTGAGTGACTGTCTAGGAATCCCTAGATTTGATGAATAAAAAAGTAACAGACATTTGAGTGACTGTCTAGGAATCCCTAGATTTGATGAAAAGAAAAGTAATAGACATTTGAGTGAATGTCTAGGGATCCCTAGATTTGATGAAAAAAAAAGTAATAGCCACTTGAGTGAGTGTCTAGGGATCCCTAGATTTGATGAATAAAAAAGTAATAGACATTTGAGTGAATGTCTAGGAATCCCTAGATTTGATGAATAAAAAAGTAATAGACATTTGAGTGAATGTCTAGGAATCCCTAGATTTGATGAATAAAAAAGTAACAGACATTTGAGTGACTGTCTAGGAATCCCTAGATTTGATGAAGAAAAAAGTAGTAAACATTTGAGTGAATGTCTAGAAATCCCTAGATTTAATGAAAAAAAAAGTAATAGCCACTTGAGTGAGTGTCTAGGGATCCCTAGATTTGATGAAAAGAAAAGTAACAGACATTTGAGTGACTGTCTAGGGATCCCTAGATTTGATGAAAAAAAAAGTAATAGCCACTTGAGTGAGTGTCTAGGGATCCCTAGATTTGATGAAAAGAAAAGTAATAGACATTTGAGTGAATGTCTAGGAATCTCTAGATTTGATGAAAAGAAACGTAACAGACATTTGAGTGAATGTTTGAGAATTCCTAGATCTGATGAAAAGAAAAGTAATAGACTTTTGTATGAATATCTAGGGATCCCCAGATTTCTTAAGTCTCATATAGCTCTCTAATCTAGTAATTTATTGATAATATATCACTTATTCAGGATCTGTAATCAGTGTAATCCCCTATTTATTGATATCGTCCTATGTGAAACTAATCTAGGAATCCCTAGATCGATCTCATAAATTCCCTATAATCTTTTGCTTGTAGTAATCTATAACAATTGAAACGTCACAAATTGTAGTTCTCGAAAAACAGAGAAGACCTGTCACCTATACAAAAATGATTGAATATTTATATTCTAAATGAAAGAAATATCTAGAGTTCCCTAGGGTTTACCTTGCTAGTTCCAAATGTAGCTTCTTGACCAATATAATAAATTACAATAAATTACAAGATAAAACAATGAAAGTCTATTCAAAGTACCTCCCACAAAAAAAGAACCAAAAAGTGATTTGTATTTACAAATAAAATTAACTAGGATTCCCCAACAGAAGTGTCCTAGGGACTTATCACTTGCAACAATCGCGGAGATCAAAGTCTCATCTCTATTCAAAGAATAGCTGTTACGAAACGTAAACACGTTTCCCGTCAAAATCGATAGGAATCGACGATAAATCGAAGTTTACGATGATCGTTACGGCTGCTACCATCGGTCGTAGAATTTTAATACGTTTAATATGATGTTTCGAAATCGCATTCTTCTGTTTGCAGAAACACGCGTCACGAGACAAAAAGATCGATCATAAATCATTGCGTCACCTTGCTGCTTGTTAGATGGCCACGCGTTCGAGATAATATACGAAGATCGAAAGTGATCGCAAGTCACTCTTCCTGCTTTTGTGTTTTATATTATCTGAGAAACTCGAGTCTGGAGCTTCCGTTCTGCTCTTGTGTACTGGGTGTTACAAAGTTGGAGGCTCGTCATTTTTTAAACGGACTATAATTGTAACTGTAGAGTCTCGTTCTTAAAGAGTATTCATTTCATACGGAACTGTTTGAGCAAGATAAAATGTGTTGCAAAAATTACTTTGCTACAGGGTGTTTCAAAAGAGGTGGACCTATATCTTTGCTGTATGAAAATGAAGTATAATATTGTTTATGTATTATAGGAATAATAAAAACATTCTAAACTTGTTGTAAGGGTATCATTTTATATTATACTGTACAGATTATGCTACAGGGTGTTTCAAAGCAGGTGGACGCTTATCACAACTGTACAAAACCTATGAAGTATAATATTGTTTATGTATTGTGGAAATAATAAGAACATTTCAAAACACTTGTCATCAGATTATCATTTTATAATATACTGTACAGATTGTGCTACAGGGTGTTTCAAAGCAGGTGGACCCTTATCACAACTGTACAAAACCTATGAAGTATAATATTGTTTATGTATTGTAGAAATAATAAGAACATTTTAAAGCATTTATCATCAGGTTATCATTTTATAATATACTATGCAGATTATGGTACAGGGTGTTTCAAAGCAGGTGGACCCTTATCATAACTGTACAAAACCTATGAAGTATAATATTGATTATGTATTGTAGAAATGATAAAAACATTTTAAAGCACTTATCACCAGATTATCATTTTATAATATACTGTGCAGACTATGCTACAGGGTGTTTCAAAGCAGGTGGACCCTTATCACAACTGTACAAAACCTATGAAGTATAATATTGCTTATGTATTGTAGAAATAATAAAAACATTTTAAAGCACTTGTCATCAGATCATCATTTTATAATACACTCTACCGATTATGCTACAGGTTGTTTCATAATAGGAAGCAAATTTTTATCGCCTACGATTTGAAAGTATAACCAATACGATAAAAATAGAACGTAGTCAGTGATGTAAGACTAGAAAACAGGAATTAGAACGTTTCCTCGTTCCAATTTGCAGGTTTTCAACTAAATTCCTCGAATTACGTTACGCGATAAATCCCAGGAATTTCACAAATATTTCGCCGCTGTTTAATCCGCACGTTTCATTAAAGCCCGCTCTTTTTCCGACTGTATTTTATTCGTTTAATCTGATTGTTTATAGATATCAGTTAATCCAATACGGATAATATAAATCGGAAAGAAATATGATCTCCGTGTATCACCTTGAAGAGTTGTTAATCGACTGAACAAATACGCTAAACCGTCCGATAAAACCGAGCGAAAAAAGAAAATTCTATGTACCTTTATAGAATGGAGAATTTTTCAAGGCTGTCCTGCAAAAACGTGACGGATAAAATTTCGCTCGCGAGTCGGCGAATGGATAATTGCTAGGCAATTGGATGCAACGTAATTGCAGGTAATTTATAGTTTCGTACGAACACCTCTTACAGTCTCGTTACAACATTCTTCGCCGTTAGAAAACCGATCCTACAACGCGATATAACATTGTGTTTCAATTTTAAAATGTTCTTCGCATGGATAATGGAAAATTGATCCAATCTTCTTCTTATATCTACCTTGTGCTAAATTACTTTATTTACGATTGTTACAAGATTCTTTGGCCTTATCTACGTTTCACACTTATCAGGGATTAACTGCGTTATTTTAGGCGCCGAGAGTTTCGTTTAATCTCGCGATCTTGGGAACATCTGCTACTTGGAATTTTTTATTTACACAAGTTTTTGTTGTTTGATTTTTTTAGTTT